ATTAAGCAAAATCGAGCAGTAAGTGGCTGTCGGACATCGAAAAAGTGCACATTTTGCAACATTCGAGCGTAAAATGTGACAATATCGTAGAAGAGGGGTTGCTAATGTAATTTGCACAAAGTCAGATACACATTATACCTTTGATATAAAGCCAATAGCATGTTATAACTACTATTTTGTGCATTCCACAAGCCAAAGACACAAAAATCGCGAATGGGCCCACTTTCTGGAGAATGGGTGATTAGTTATTCAATCATAGCATAGGTAATCCAATTTCTAAGTAGACATATATTGACTAAAACACGTACAAGTTGACAAGTTCAATAAAGGGCGGTTGGAAATAGGAAACTAGTATATACAAGTTAAATGAGTATTGTGACATCGCAGAAAGGAAATTATATAAAGAGTATCATTGTAAATCTAGAACTTAGTGTGCAGCGGAATAACGTTAACAAACAACGTGCTTGTAAAAACATACAAAACATTTAYATTCTTGTTTCCTGGTACCATGGAAATTGGACGACGACTGTTTTTCCTATTTGAATGTTGGGAACCTCAAGAAAAGTCGATTATGGAAGAAGATCTTGCAGATCATCTGACATGTAAGTACAAAACCAGCTATAACGTATATATAAATGACTACAAACGTAACTTCTGGGACAATATAAAGACTAATTATAATTAAATCGATGTTAAGGTGATATTGTCCCGGTTAGAAGATAATACACAAATTACGTAAATACGATAATAGACTTTCCTGGCAAGAAACAAGGTGCCAAAGAATTCCCGTTTCGACACAAATTCATCTCGATTTCGGGGATAAAAAACTCGATAGCTTTTATAAGACAAAATAATGTGGAAAGAGCTAAAAGTTATTGTTGGTGGATTTATAACAATGAGAACTACAGTATCGCGGAAATTGGGCTAGCTGTGGTAAAATGAATATTCCCTTGAATTGCAATGTGTTGAGAGTTTGGAACCACATTTATTAACATTTTTCGTCAATTTTTTGTTATAATATGAATGAGGTTTTAAGGCATTTTAGTAATTAACCTTGATAACAAGAAGCTGTCAACTAGCAAGAACGCAAAGGAATTTGTCTTATTAGTATCTATAAACAGCAGATGTACATAACTAAATAACTATTTAGGTGACGTCACATACATAAGTTAATGCGCGCCAAAGCAACTGTCGGGAAAATTGGGGGAGGGGCATAGAAAACTACACTAAAAACGTTTTCCAAAACAAAACAAAATTGACGAGACTTTTAAACTTTGCCGGTTTGTTTACAGACCCGGTATCACTTATAACGACATATTTTTTGATTTTTTTACATTATTATCTATTTCAGGTTATGGCCAGGTTCTTTCCGTGAAGCTAAACCATAAACAGGTGAATATTAATCAAGCCTCTAATGGCAAAGCAACTCGAAGATTGATTGTGTAGACGAATACGGAACAATACAATGAATCAAATTATAATTACTTAACAAATAGAATTTTAAGTAAACGATTTATGAAAATATTGTTTTTCTGTTAAAATCGTATTATTTTAACTTCGGTTCTTGATAAGCACGGGCGAGGGCCGGCGATACAAATCCCAGTATAGGTCTCAGGTTTGAGACCCAGATGAATACATATTTCTTTATTTGCCAAAAAATAAATTTATTCAAATATAGCACNCTTATGTTAACAAATTAACAACACAAAAAACTCGATAGCTTTTATAAGACAAAATAATGTGGAAAGAGCTAAAAGTTATTGTTGGTGGATTTATAACAATGAGAACTACAGTATCGCGGAAATTGGGCTAGCTGTGGTAAAATGAATATTCCCTTGAATTGCAATGTGTTGAGAGTTTGGAACCACATTTATTAACATTTTTCGTCAATTTTTTGTTATAATATGAATGAGGTTTTAAGGCATTTTAGTAATTAACCTTGATAACAAGAAGCTGTCAACTAGCAAGAACGCAAAGGAATTTGTCTTATTAGTATCTATAAACAGCAGATGTACATAACTAAATAACTATTTAGGTGACGTCACATACATAAGTTAATGCGCGCCAAAGCAACTGTCGGGAAAATTGGGGGAGGGGCATAGAAAACTACACTAAAAACGTTTTCCAAAACAAAACAAAATTGACGAGACTTTTAAACTTTGCCGGTTTGTTTACAGACCCGGTATCACTTATAACGACATATTTTTTGATTTTTTTACATTATTATCTATTTCAGGTTATGGCCAGGTTCTTTCCGTGAAGCTAAACCATAAACAGGTGAATATTAATCAAGCCTCTAATGGCAAAGCAACTCGAAGATTGATTGTGTAGACGAATACGGAACAATACAATGAATCAAATTATAATTACTTAACAAATAGAATTTTAAGTAAACKATTTATGAAAATATTGTTTTTCTGTTAAAATCGTATTATTTTAACTTCGGTTCTTGATAAGCACGGGCGAGGGCCGGCGATACAAATCCCAGTATAGGTCTCAGGTTTGAGACCCAGATGAATACATATTTCTTTATTTGCCAAAAAATAAATTTATTCAAATATAGCACAGGGAACCCAGTAACGGAACCCAGTAACGGAAAATTAGTGAATAAATTACTAAAACAATATTAGAATGAAATAATAACTCTGAAAACAAGTAACGCAGGCTCAAGTTTATAGGAAACTGAGTAGCCTGCGTAGCGGCGGCCCAAAGGGATTGGGGAGGGCCGGCCGCTACACAGGCTAGAAACTGAGTGGCTGAGTGAGTATATGGTTAGTACTTTTTCGTGCATTTAGTGTTTACACTCTAGCATTAATTGCACGAGTGTGATTTCTTTTTATTACAGTCAACTCTCGCTATTAAGGACACCCTCCAGACCGTAATTTAGTGCCCGATATAGCGAGAGTTCGTAATAGCGGGAATTAGGGACCGGTCATTATTTATTTCGGAAGGGGGTTGGAGGAGAAATTGGGGGCCCTAAAATAATTTCGTTAAAAATAGGGGGGTCTGGAATGTTTAAAATCACAGTTTAGGGGGGTCTTGAGAGTACACGAAATCAATATTTTTTCACATAATTGTTTATTACTCTTTCTGTATGGATTATTTGAAATGTCTTTCTACTTTGACTTTACTTTAATAAAGTGTTTGAATTGCATAGCAAAACAATTAACAAATCTGTTAAAATCTAGAGACATTAAAGTACATATGAGTATTTGAAGGTTTATTTCTACTATACTATTACTAGCGACCAGCACTGAGGATACTTCTATTTTAAGAGTTCTCCTTATAGTGCTGCTCACTAGTCATAGTTAAAAACTTAAAACTTAATAATTTTCCAATATTTGAGTCATTTTTGTCCATAATATTGAGGTGCSCGTTCTAGCGGGGTGTCTGTAAGGCGAGAGTTGACTGTATAAAGGTTTCACGTTCCCACTAGATAAGCACTTTTTGAAACCGCTTATGTTGTGTCGAAGCTCGGGTGCATTTTTCGCATTTTACGCTTCACTACCAAAATGTAAGTACTGTTTATGTTTGTTTTTAATGTTAACAACTTTCACACTTTATATCTACAGCTAACCAATGGTGACATGTGTATGGGAGTTGTTAAATTCTACTCAAAAAAGGGAGCGAATCTCACATATGCCAACAGAAACAACCCGGTAAATGATGCAGACTTTGTCATTTTCCATTATTTTTGTGTTTTTCCCCTGATTCTAGTCATCGATTACATCGCATTATATTCCCAAAAACATTACCTTTATCGTCAGTTTTTAAACGTTTGTACGCTCTCATTTGTAGAACATCTGTTGTTACATGGGCGCTTATNGAAAATAAATATACGTACTAGCATGTTTTACAATCGCCAGATATAATGCATCATCATGAAAATTTTACGGTAAAATAGAGATATTAATTAGACCTTCATAATACTAAGATTTAAAAATGTTAAAGTATCTTTAGCAATTAAAACAGATATCAATTTTTTTCTGTAAATTAGTATACATAATATTTATTTGTTTACGTATTTCAGTTCTTGAAATTAAAGAGCAGACAGACTCAAGCATGCAGAGAAGAAACGGATCGAAATTTACACCAATCACGTTAGAAGAATCACTGCAATTGACCAATAGAAAGATAGGAAAAAAGAACCAATAGCAACTAACTTGAAACATAATTATGGTGTTTCCTCGAAGGTAAGTATCAAAAACAGTACAAATTGTACGAATACAACGGACAACACAACAAACTCTATGTAATTAGTTATGATAATTGTAGGGAAAAAAATTGTGCATTTTATCACAAGTACAAAACTAGTTAATGTATCCCTAACAGGTCTTATATACAAATAAAGTAATCTATTTCAATGTCTTACAGTAAACATTTCGTTGTTGCGTACTGACCTTGACGAAAAAATCGGATCGAGAAGCTGTCACTCTGATTGGTCCATTCGTGAGATTATATGTATTCGCCAATCGTAGACCAAGAAAGTGCACCAATCACAAAACACTAAGCCCACATTTGTACTCGTGCTAATTTTAGTGTGTTCCACTTTGTCTTAGAACTGACCGAAGTAAGATGTCTGCGAAGAAAAGTACAACTTCTAAAACCACTCTCAACAAAAAGGTTCAAAGGGCAAATAGTTCTACATCTACTACGGCAGCAACAGCCCACCATGTTTTCCCGTCWGTTGTGGAATTCAACGCTAAAGCTAAACCTTCGGCCGAMGACGTTTTGATAGCATACGTCCATGACATGTCTCAAGTAAAGCGCAATAATAGGAACACGCTGAGCTACTGTACCTTCAAACTTCAAACTTCAGCTACTACACAGAAAGATGCACTGCTTTATTCTTTATCAAAGCGACCACTTCTTATTGAGAGTGAATCTAGTCGTACTCCAGTAAAGATTAAGAACTTTACTTTTACCGAAGACAAAAGTAAAATTGTGATAAACGACATGACCAACATAWCTACCCCGCAGCAATGTGAGTATTCCTTTCAGTTTTCTGACATCTCTTCTCCACAAAATACTGCAACAGTACTGGAAGTGTACAATAATCATCGAGAGTGGGACACGGTCACCATACGCGGGAAAATCCTCAATGTACATCAAYCTCGTACAATCAATAGTCCCAAGAAGCGCCTMAAACTCATGGAAGCTGTAATTGCAGACCAAACTGGGCAAATTCCTCTCGATCTCTGGGAGTCGAACATCGACCAAATAAATGAAGGATCGGTATACAGTCTTGACAACGTACAAGTCCGCGTGTGGTCGAGCCGTAAGAAACTTTGCACTACAGTAAAGACAACCATTGTTCCATATGAAGAACCAGCCTTAGCCAACATCGCACAGGAAAATCCGCCACATCAGGACGAAATAATAACAATAGTACACAAATTGTCTTCTATTCAGAAAATAGAGAACTTTCTGAAATGTGTTAACTGCAGCAAAAAGATTATCCAAGCCACCACTGCCGTTGTGACTTGCGATCATTGTGGCCATATTATGAGAGAAGAAGATTGTACTAAAGGAGTACTAGCTTGTTGTGTATTGGGCCCCCTGTGTAATTCCCATGCTGCCCCGCGGTAGTGTTTTGGTTTTGGGCACAATAAATCATGGCGGACCTAGCCACGAGGTTTACTTTTCTGTCTTACTAGTAGCCTGATACAGGTCATAGCTAAAGTAGTTATTCCAGTAGATGGTGATGACAAGATAACCCTGGCCATGAACGACGATGTCCTGAACCTTCTTCTAGAAGACAACGTCATTGTGATGGAAAACCAACTTCTCCTTCAAAAACTTTTGCTATTGAGAAACATGTCCATCACATACGATTCCACAAATTCAAGGGTATCCAAGTGTGAAGTCATAAGACAAGGCTAGATGATCTGAAAAGACTTACGTATGTATATACTTACATACAACTGTAAAAGAGCACTTTTTTCCCATCACAATCAAGATGAATCMGTTGTTGAAATTATATGTTTATTGTATGTTAGAAACTAAGTTTGTCTTATTTCCCGGCCGTTGCCTATGTATTTTTCTTAGAACTAGTTTCAAGAGTACTAAGACAATATTAWTTTCAAGTTAGAATCCATCAATCAAGATGACTCATTTGTTGAAATTAAWGATGTATATTCATTGTACATTAGAAATAAGTTTGCCTAATTTGTTCATTAAAAYACTATCAGTATAATTCCAAAGTATTCTGTCTCTCTTTTTAATATTCACAAGCAGTGACGGTGGGAAAATTAAGAATCAATTAAGTCAGACAAATATGCCTCTGTGCCATAGACCTATGAATCTCATTAGAGAGAGTGTTTTGTTTTATTTTTGATGTTGTACAATAMTTACTCAACGCTATCCGCCAACAGAGTTGTTATCTAAGAACAGCAACAAAGGGATTCCAAAATAAGCTTCAGGGCTGCTTGTTTGATAACTTATCTATTAATTTACTCGTATATCTTTCAATACGGTTAACAAACAGTAAAACAAATTAAACTCGACTATATTGTACCCTAATAAATTGATATCAATAACATCAAACGACTACTGAGTAATGCAAAAAAAAAAAAAAGGTTTTCTTGAAACTATATCATGTTAGACATAAAATTACCTATCACCCCATGAGAACCCCGAGTTCACGCAGTTATGCGTCTAGTCTCAAAATCGAACGTATGAGACATAAAAGTAAAGCCGTGGATTTAAGGTACGCTCGGTCTGTCTGTCTGTTTGTGTGTCTGCTTGTCTGTCTGTCTGTGACAGTTTCATTTTCGCAATCTTTGAGTTGGCTTTGCATAAAGGTAAAATGTAAGGTTGTAGGTAAGAGACAGATGGCATCGCATAATCTCCGAACGCATGCGCATGATAGTTTGTCAGTACCATTCTCCCCGGGGTAAAAGCTCAATCGCAAAAGCTCAATTTATGTAAACATTGCTTTTTAATGTGTTATACAGTGAGTCAAAAGCAGGTTCACACGACCACCGTGTCGAAGCCGTTCAGCATGCAGTTGCACACGGGACAAAGAGGACAAAGTGGGCTAAAAAAAAGGCACCAGCAGTTGGCATTTAAACTTTGGGAACCAGCTCGTAGACCGTTTATTAAGGTAAAACGCGGTACCAAATTGTCCCCACAGTCTGTTGCCACTATAATTCTGCAAACTTCTTTTTYAGCGAAAAAAGACAGAGACGTTTCAAACTAAAAATATGAAAAAAAGTGGAGTTTATCCTAATTATAAAGAAGGTAAGATCGTGAATCTGACTCGGGAAAACGTTGCTTTGTTTTTGTGTGTATGTTTTTGTAAGTTGACARTTTTTTTTGTTTGCGCAACTAGTAAAAGTGCAATGTTTTCCAATTTGATAGCTATATGCATAAATGAAGACGTTCTTTCAAAATGCAACGATAGTTGATAATGCTTCCGGTTTTTTTGTTTGTTTTTTTTTTTTGAAAAATACATAAGTTTCTAAGAATTCATCAATAATTCGACTTATGAATCTTTTAAACTCTACAGACACTCGCAATGACAAAGACAAGCCAATATCACTTGGGGTCGGAGGAGAACCACCAGAAACATCTGCGGAATTGAAAAAAAGGTGATTTGGAAATAGCTTGGGATCAGGCAATTGACCAAGGTTCAACCTGTTCTATCTACAAAGGTAGACTGAAAACAGAAACCACCATGACTGCCAAGGATGTTGCATGTAAGAAATTCCTGGCTTCCCTAACAGCGAAGCACAAAAGGAAGCTGAAAAAAGAAATGGGATCTTTGGTAAAACTCCGCCACCCCAACATTGTGATGCATTATGGCATTGAATGTAGCACGTGGGTTGTAGTATCAGAATTAGTGGAGATTACAGTAACCTGTGATGGTGAACCAGAKCTTATACACAACGCCCGCCAACTAATCGACGCCATGGAAACGTCTTTGAAATGGGAGGACCGTATTGACATCGTAAAACAGTGTAGTTCAGGTCTCAAGTATTTACACGAAAACGGCATCGTTCATTGTGACATCAAGGCGGCAAATGTTTTCATCGGAAAGACTGAAAACGGAAAATTTATTGCGAAACTTGGAGATTTTGGTATGGCCCGGTACGAACTCGAACAGTTCTCCAAGACTCAGGTTTCATCCACAGGAAATAAATCTTCTGTGGACGGTACTGTGGCCTACATTKCACCAGAATTACTTACGTGTGGTGCAAAACATAACTATCAAACCGACATATACAGCTTCTCAATGCTAATGGTTGAATTTACGCTCCCACAGAGGTCACATCCTTGGGAAGGAGAGGCAGCAGTGAGTGATCTCATTTTAAGTTTCATTAAAGACCATTAAAGACGGAAAACGACCAAACACGGATGAATCCGACTKGCATCATTCAGAAGAATCGAAAATCGCGTGGTTCGATTTAATGAAGCGATGCTGGAGTVAAAATCCTGAAAACCGTCCAAAAATAACCGAGGTGACATTCGAACTTGGAAAGATAAGCAATTGCGAAACCCAGAACAGTGATGACAGTGAGCCAGATAGTTCCACAGGTAGTGGCAATGTCTTAGCCATTCATCTAGCCATACACCAAGGGAGTGTTGCGGAGAGAAGTAGTGACATTGCAGCAGATGTATTATAATCTTCTGATTGTGTAGACAACCAGTTGCAACAAGATTTAAACGATACAATAGAAAAATGGGACGGTTCCAATGCATGTCTCTACCTTGGCCTGAAAATTATAGATGAGATACAGCACACAAAAAACGTTGATCCAGAAAATATGAGGAACGTTGTAGAGACAGTTATCAGACAAGTTCCCCAACAGATAAATTCTTTTAGAAACAGAAGTGAATGGCCAACGTTTGACAAAGTGAACAAATTGCTGAATAAGAAAGGCTTGTTACGAGGGAGTTATGATGATACAGAGGTTCTAGAGTGCCAAAAGCCTCCATCTTCCAATGAAAGAAAAGAGCACATCACAAATGCAATAAAAAAAACTTTATACGGAGTTGAGACCAGATGAAATGTGTTTTGCCATATACATTTGTTCTCCATTGACGTTAACATTTGTAGTAAATAAAAAGTCAGTAATTGTCATTGACACCCATAAAGGTCCACTGTGCGCCGGTGGGAACGGAAATGGACTTCTCCGGATAGTCACCTTAAATAAGGACAGCGTGGACACTGCAGTCAGGGAGCTAACAGACTGGATTGATATAAGGATGAAGACCTCAATAAGAAATTGGGATACCAGTTTGCACTCACTTCTGAAAATTCAGAAAATCGAAAACGATATTATAGAAATTGAAGACGACGATGACGAAATCTTGAATAAGATTAATTTAGACATGGAGGTGGACAATAGCGATTTGGACAAGCTGTGGGTTGACGCCAGTTGTCAGCCTGTGCAAATTGACAGGAAACAGGAGTTGCTGTGGAAAGGTCACTTAACACAATTTGGTCTTTCAAAGCTGAAACACTTTCAAATGCAGGCCATTGAAGCTGTTGAAAAGAAATGCGACGTCGTGGTAGTACAGCCAACAGGCAGCGGGAAAAGTCTCTGTTACCAACTACCTGCACTATTTGATGAAAACAAGATAACAGTTGTCATATGTCCCACGTTGTCCCTTATAAATTCTCAAATGGAAGAACTGACAAGCAAGGGTATYAAGGCAATTAAATTAACATCTAATGATGACTTCATCATTGATAGTGACAGCCCGCTTCCTCAGATGATTTATACCACTCCAGAGTACTTTACTACAAAACTGCACTACAAATTGACAACAAACAAAGAGAATCTGAAACTGATTGTTATAGACGAAGTGCACAAGATGTTCGACAGGAACTTCTCTTTTAGGACTTGCTACAGCATCATTAATGATGTCCATGTTGATTTTACTGACGTCCCAGTAATGGCAGTTACTGCAACACTAGAAGATAATACTTTGCGTGATTTGTGTACCACTTGTTTGAAGSATCCAGTCCTTATTCGAGGAAGTGTTGATAAAAAAA